AGCCTCCCGGAGCAGCCACGCCCGCCGCACGCTGCGGGGCAGCGCCGGATCCGCGGGACAGGAGGGGAATTCCGGTGCCAGCGCTGCCACCCCAGCAGCGTCCCGCCCGCCGCCTCCAGGGGCACGGCTGCTCACGGCCCTGCCTTCCTACAGACACTGCTTGTACGTTCCCCCTCCATCCCCGAAGCAGCATCACGGGCAACAGAAACACCTCTGGGCAGGCGGTGCTGCTCAGCGTGGATGCAAACCGGTAAGACAAGGAAAATCCACGAGGAGTTTTTTTCCAGGGACTAAGTGATGAGAACAAGGAACTACAGGAGAAGTAACGCACACCTAGTGCGGCTAATAAGATTAGAACGGGCACCGCGGTTTCCTTGCCAGGACACTTCTAATCATGCCCACATTTTAATCCCTGCTAGCAGGAGAGAACAACTATGCTAATGACTTGCAAGCACAAGCCAACAGCTAGATGTCTTCGTGGTAAATACCAACACTAATTTGCTTAAACTCCTAACATTCAGAAGTCAAGAGTCATCCTGTGCCAGCAGCAACTACCTACCACACCTGGGGATTTAGGGAAGCCTAAAACACACCTCCTAGCCTCCAGCCAAGCTGTACCATGTTGGTTTGTCGTGAATCGTTACTCCCTGGGAGACCCTCGGGCCAGAGAGATGGAGGTGGCAAGAGCTCCACAACCAAGCTGTGAAAAAGCTCTGAAGAGGGATTTTCTCCTGTTCATCAGTACACAATCCATTCCACACATCGATTTTTCCCAACACCAAGAAGAGTCAGAGCAGCAATAGATGTATTTCACATGGTAAAGCCAAAGCAAGCAAAAGGCCACCTTTTCAAAATAAGAGATTTAATTGCAAGAGCAGTCAATCACCCTGAACAGGGAAAGAAAGCATGAAGGTAACCTACAAAATGAAAACAGATTAAAACTATCCTTTGTGCTCACATGTAGTGAAAGGAGTAATCTTCCTGGAAAAATTCATGCAACTATGTTTTATTCCTAGCTCTGTATTAAGTTTTCTATTTAGAGCTGGAAAAGCTACTTGCTTGCAGCGAAATCCTGCTCCCCTTGAGGTCAGTGACATATCTGTGACTGCACTAAACCAGGCTGAATTTCAACCTTCATCCTGCAGGCTGCCAGCTACAAAAAGAGAAGTATTACTCCAAGGAGCTGTGATGCCTCAGAGCTAAATCTTCATGTGAAGAAATGCTAGATGTATATTTTGTCTGCACAGCTACTTGAAGTACAATTGTTTTGTCAGAATTTGTTATCTACCTGAAAACATAGCCAGAAATGTCAGCTTTAAAAATAGCCTTCTAGCAAAAATAGACTGACTTCATACCAGGTTCATCTTCAAAATCTCCACTAAATAAAGGAAGACATTAGCATAGAATTATTTTTTTAATCTGCATAAACTATTTTCCTCTCACTTTGAAACTCTTGTGATATTCCAAGTCAATAAGGAGTCCCCAATAAGCCTCAAATACTAAAGGATATCACAGCCTGCAAAAAAACCCAGCAGACACACGTGTTGCCTCTCTGAGCTGGCTCTGATAAGCTGGGAAAGACTGCAACAAATCCAGAGGGAAGAACCACAGGGAGATGACAGGCAACAGGCTGAGGGTTTGGTTTGGTTTTTAATTCAATTAAAATTTCTTTGGGGGCTGACGGTTTCCAGACCCCACCAGGCCATGCAGTACTAAAGGCTGTTCTTAAGCCAAAGCTGGTTTGCAAAGTTCACCTTTTGAAACCTGACAGTATTTGCTACTTGGCTTGGACTGCTGTAAACATTAGTTTGGACCTTGCCTTCCCTGATCCTTTGGAACAGTAGGAAAATAAAGCTTAACATCTTGAAAGCAAATTAAAATGTGATTCTTAGAAAAGACAAAATAGAGAAATAACACTGAGAAGTCACTCCTTAAGAGAGTAAGAGAGGTGAGTTAGTCATCTGCTGAGCTGGGTCAATGAAAACGATTAAGAAACAGCTTCAGAAATCGATGGGAAGTTTATCTGGAAATGCCCCAGAAAGTGAAACCAACACAGCAGGGACCATGTGACTGTGGCTCCTGTGTCCCGATGAATTATGTTCAGTTTTCATTACTCCCTGCTATTGCTATAAAGAAATGTTGTACAGCCAGGTTAACAATACATTTTTCCTCTTCATTGCAGTCTCTGAAGAGGAGGGTCTGGCTGCACTGGGAACTGCTCCCCACCAGCCCCTGTGCCACTCTGCCTGTTACTGGGTCTGCTGGACATTCCTGTTCCTCTATCACAATTCACACGTGTCTCTCAGAAAGAAAGATGTCTCAGGCTGACAGGCAAAAAGCACAACACTAAAAAAGAACATGGCAGTGAAAAATGCTATTTTTATGCTCAAAGTGGAAGCTGAAAACGCCAGTCTCGGTGACATAAGAACTGTCAGCAAGAATAGATCATTACACAACAGGAATCCACCTCATGACAATGACTCTAATGAGATAGGAAATGGAATAAAATCAATATTCTATTTACATGGACAGGACAGTCTCAAAGCTTGGAATCACCAAATGGCTGTCTTTCAAATAGAGAAATACAAAAATCCCTGACTGCCTTACAGTACTTTCAAAACACCTCTGCCAAGTTCAAAGTTTACCAATAACATATATTTTTGGAAAAGGTACAACAATTAATTCACGGTACAACTGAGGAATGTAATTATAGTGCTGTCACAAAATTAAGCAGAAACAATGAGCTAATTAATACCTTGGCCACATAAGAGTGATGGATTGGTTAAAGAAACCTATTTTTTTAGTAAACTACTGCTGAACAGACCAAATTGGTCT